ATGCCTCCTTCTAAATGTGCCGTTAATGGCATTCTCATGCATGTGACATTTTAGTTGGTCCTATGAAGGCCTGGTATATGGATAAGGAACAAGGCTGTGTGTTACGAATCGAAGCCTGGCAGGTGAGGACTGTGAGAACACATTAGATCTCGCACAAATCCGCCTCGTTAAAAGCTAAGTTACGCACAAGTCAGCGGTGCTGGGCCACTCGGCGGGGAACACAGCTTACTTCGGCGTTCGTAAGAGTTGAGCGGTCGACCAGACCAGTTATTCAACTTCTTGCTAGTACTTCCGTTACTCTCTCCGGTGGTCTAAACGACAGAATCTCATTGATAAACGACTATTCTAAAGGGAGTCTTAACATGTCCGTACTGTATGTGCATATCAGCTGATTACACTTAGATTTTGACTAAAAGTCCTGTAGAATAAACAGATATTGAAGGCCGCCATATAACCACTACCGCATGTGATACCTGTAGCAGACAAAGGGAGCTTTAGATGAGAAAGTTTAAAGTGCATGTCTTCAAACCCTCACAGGTTGTCGAGTTAGAGGCACCTCATACGGCAATGATGCTAACTACCAGTTCACTTCCCTTCTGTATGTCCTGTTGACTGCGTATATCGCATCAAGATGCATTTAAGGGTTGGCGAACATACAGTACTGTCAAACCACTTTCATTATTGCTTAGCACTTGGCTTGATAATAATGTAATCTAGATGTTTCGATTTGCTTCGCTGTCACAGATTACTTCTTAAACATCATTTTCCATTGTTCGTCAAAACTGAGGACATTGTATCCTATTAACGACTTCATGTGAATTGCAGACGAATTGCCTGGAAGAACTTCCCCACGGCTGAGTAGAATGCTTCTAGTTGAGGGGATCTGGGACTACTAATTCAATGAGGTCAGCATTTAAACATAGCCGCCTGCTCATGCAACGCGATATATTCACCCAACTGTGGGTGCCCTCATTACATTGGTTTTCACCTCCTAATGCCTAACTTAATGCTAGTCTACCCAGGGGGGATATTTTTCTGGAGAACCCCATTCCCTCAGTGAACCACGTGTAATAACGTCCTGTCATGGGCTAGCGTGAAACCATTGCACCCGGTCCACATAACAGGCAGCTCGGTGGTAGCGACTATCTCGGTGGTGTGGGCCACTCGTTAGCATATGATAGAACTGACGGACTACGCCGCGCGCGTCCGATGAATCAGTCGCTCGTGATCGGAGTCGTGGGACGCGTAGAGATGACGAGAGATACGCGTGATTATGCCTCGGTGTCAAAGCTGCACACTTTGCAGCCATAAATTGGCATGCAAATTCGCCCAAAAGTCAAGTCCATCGGTTTGGTAAACAGCCTACAGGGACTGTTACGCACATGTACCTCAAATGACCAATTTCTATTTAATAGAAGGATTGGAATAATCATGGTACTGGGACATGTGGATTGGTGATCAGGACACTTGATGTTGCTTAAGGTATTTGGTGCACATTCCTCTATAAACTGCACATTCTGGAAGTGGATGCTGATTAGCAATTATTTTTCCTTCCTAAATGTGTGCAGCTGATCGACTGTAAGTACCGAGATCACATGCTGGACGATTTAACAGGCAGTGTAGTTAGTAAAGTTCGGTCCAACGTTCTGTACAGCGTACGATCGAAAAAAAAAACTTTTAAATGCGGCGGAATCCGGATTATGTAGAAGGGTTCACCGATAGGCATCTCACTGACAAACGGCACCCAGCAGACAGTTTACACATAGGCCTAAGTATTTACAGTAACGGTTTGGTGCGCATACTATGGTGCGCGATATCAGCGCTCCCTCTACTGACTGGAACTTACTCACTGCCTTAAAGTATGTCTCCCCTTTTCTTCTTCATCTCACTGCTGTTCGTGAACTTGTATCTGTATGGCAATAATATCCCTCAGTCATATCTACAATCTACAAAAGATGTCTGGTGGTTCGAATCCACCCTCGTCCAATCTTTCCAAACCTGTTCTGGTGGGGACTATCGGGAAAAGTGCAATTTCAGTAAAAAACAAGAAGGACTCTCAGTTGTGACCTGCTGAAAATTTTAACTTATGATTTCAAAATAAAGCGACTTCCTCTTTCTCTCTCTCTCTACAGAGTTTGGGAAAGTGGAAGAAAGTATTTGCAATTTCTCGACGGCCATGATTTCTTAGTCAGCAAATAACCAAATCCTAACTTTCTCACATCCAAGTACTGGAGAAGTAGGTTCTATGCACGTTTCGCTCTTCATATCAACAATGCCAGGGAAGTAGATATGACAATCGCTCAAGCAAGTGCTTGTAATTTCATTATTGGCTCCGATGCTTTAACTACTATGATCCCCTTGAAAAAAGCGCCTCGTAGTCAGTTTGCATATTGGTATAATTACTCATTGTTATGATTTAGTAGTGGAGTCCATATAATAAAGAAGGGATCACAGATCCTGACGTTCGGTTTCTATGAGCGTGATGATATACCGCTGAAGAAAAGGACGCTGACAGTGGGCGACAACGGGCCGTGGCTCAGTGGTTAGAGGCGTTGGACTTCAGGTCGCGATATCGAACCACAGATGTTCCACACTTCGGAGTTGGGTATGACTGGCTGACAACGGCTAATAAGCCAGAACTGGCCACTCCAGTCTGTCTTGTCTTTGTCGGTAATGTCACTCTGCCTATATCATGCGCCGCTGTGCGGCTGCTGGTTGGGCTCGAGAGAGAGTCCATAAGGCACAACGGAACGATGGAGTTCCGTAGAAACGGTCGGTGAGCGCCCCTCTATTCCCGATCGCAACCGACAGGACAACGGGCCCGTGGCCCAGTGGTTAGAGGTGTTGGACTTCTACCTAACCGGTCGCAAGTTCGAGCCTGGGTGTTCCACACTTCAGGGATTCTTTGTCGCACAAATTTCAGATACCTCGGATAAGGAAAGAACCAGATCATAGTAAGGACGGGGCTTGTCTACTGCAGGTACGGCTACGAAATAGGATCCGACCCACATTTTGTCTGTTTTTCTAAAAAAAAGTCCTCGATCAGGCTGGTTCGGTCGACCCGTTGTTCAGTTTTTCCTCGTTTTGTTGCATTCATCAGGCTCTCACCCTCTGTTAGTCGGCGTTTTTTTACTAACAAGGTCACCATGTAAAGGTGGCGTAGCCGGTATTTTAGAAAAACCTCCCGATAGATAAAGGTCAACGTAAAAAGCTTGCAACATATGACTTACATGAAACAAAGACAATGTCGTTGGACTGAAGCAAGTGGTCAACTAAGTTTTGCTGTGTGACGAATGTTTGGGAATTCATGCCGTGCTATCCTTGACGTCTTCGACCACTACCTCGAGACTCGATGCATGTCTATAAAACTCCGATCATACCATTCTTCCCGGTTATAAGATCTACGAGCTGCATCTTAACCTATCACCTGACACCGAGAACTTTGCAATAGCTTTTCGTGAAAAGTCGGTCCTCCTTATTAACGAAAGTTACCTTCTGATTTAGCGACTCGAGCTAAATCAATTCTCTATTTAATAACGCTTATTGTCGCAGTCCAGTGATGGCCACTGGCCTTGCTCTGCAACCGAGACTAACGTGTTTGTTTGGTAAGGAAATGGTACCTTTCCAGTGCCTTCTCGCTTTCTACGAGCAGTGTCAGCATTCCAGGGTGTTCCAAATGAGGCCGATAGGCATCTCACTGTCAAACGGCACCCAGCAGACAGTTTACATATAGGCCTAAGTATTCACTGTAACGATTTGGTGCGCATACTAGGGTGAGAGATGTCAGCGCTCCCTCCGCTCACTGGAACTTACTCACTGCCCTAAAGTATGTCGCTCTTTTTCTTCTTCATCTCACTGCTGTTCGTGAACTCCTACCTGTATGGTAATAATATCCCTCAGTCATATCTACAATCCACAAAAGGTGTCTGATGGTTCGAATCCACCCTCGTCCAATCTTTCCAAACCTGTTCTGGTGGGGAGTATCGCGAAAAGTGCAATTGCAGTAGAAAACAACGAGGACTATCAGACGTGACCTGTATAGAGTTTGGGAAAGTGGAAGAAAGTGTTTGCAATTTCTCGACGGCCATGGTTTCTTAGTCAGCAAATAACCAAATCCTAACTTCCCCACATCCAAGTACTGGATAAGTACGTTCTATGCACATTTCGCTCTTATATCAACAATGCCATTAAAGTGGATATAACCTATCCTCTGGCAGGAACATTCGATCAAGCAAGTGCTTGTACTTTCATTACTGTCTCTGACGTTCTAACCGCTAATATTCCCCTGACAAACGCGCCTCGTAGGCAGTTTGCATATAGGCATACTTATTTATTGTAATGATTTGGTAGTGGGTAAGAAAAGACGCCTATTTCCGACATCTGATGGGGTGCATTTGTAAAAACCATCCTTAAAGCAGTGCTCTTTGAGCACGCTCTAGCAAATTCCGATGCATTCTGTATCCAAACCTTTTTACTCGTTGTGATAGTGTTCGTGAAATTATGCATTTTGTCCTCTCGTAGCAGTTTACTCGTTCCTGTCATTTGCAGCCTCCTTGACTCCCAAACAATTTGCTGTTTCCGCGAACGCGCATAGAGGCAAATTTATGGACACCGAGATTCCCGCTTCCGTGTGCCGACACGCAAACAACAGCGAACGGCTCATTCTAGGGGCACAGCATGTGTTTCGGCATTATTCCGTCAAGTCAAATTTCCATTAACTTATCCTCGGTTATGCCGTTTCAAAATCTTGACGATGTAGTTTCGAACAATTCAATAATGCTGCAGAATCCCTCTCTGCATATTCCCAACCCGGTACCCAAATTACGCAAGCTCCCTAAACTGACCGAAACTTGCGACGACATGAGGTGTTTACTTCATCCCGCTTCTCCCAACCAATTGGAAGCATTTTCGTTGAAATAAGTTTAATCATTTTACGAAATTTCAGGACAAGTCTGTATCAGTATAACACAACTGGGACACTGCAGACGACTTCTGTGCTCCTACTCTTCGCCATCCTCAGATTTATCGTACTGGGGCTTGTACTCTTCTTTGCCGTACTGTGGCCGCTGTGGTGGTTTGTAGTACTGCCTCGGCTGACCATATCCCTGATTGCCAGAGTTGGCGGGAGCCAGCGGTTTGGGAGACTGCGTAGTGCGAAGATTGGCATCTGCATTGACTTCCATCCAGGCACCCAAGACGATGGCCATAACGAGAAGGAAAGATAGCTGTGCCGTCATCTCGAAGTGGTTATGGCGATTTGACGCAGACACCGCCTATTTATACCCGCTGTGGTCAGCCGCGAACCGTGATTGGCTGGTGCGATCTGATGACCTAGTGGATTCTCAAGGTCGCCGTCAGCGCGTGGTTGATCTAGCATAACATGACGACAGCAACTGTTTGCTGGACCGAAAGATGACTCTATGATTAGCTGATGTGGGCAGCTGCCCTGATCAGGAGCATCCCATTAATTCCACTTCATAAATGTCAGAAGGCAGATTTCTTCCAATCTAGGAGTTTTTGTCTGTTTACACAAATTGGCAACATCGCGGCTGACGGGCGATGTCCAGCAAACTGCAGACACATATATCTGTGAATCCTTCCCATCAGTGGTGCTTGTATTTTACCGGGTCTTGGGATGTTATTGTAGAGGTGTGCATCTGCGCGTTAGAATTTAAGCATAGCCGCCCCTGATCATATCGTGTGATATATTAACCCAATGATGAGTTTCCTGATTTATACACCCTCGTAGTAGGTGTTTCTACCTACAGAAGAGAGAATGAGTCACCTGCGTAATCTTTACGCTTTACTTTACACCAGTATATGCAGTCTATATCTGCTTCATGCAGATGAAATCGGCGGTTTTGCAGATGAAATCGCGAGGAAATCAATTGTCAAAAGTATAGCGACAATGGCGTACACACTGACAGCTACTTATTCCTACGTACTGTCCACGTCTCTACAAAAATATTCTCGTTTCTCCGATGGTATAGCATGACTTCTTGGATTCTCGATGTTTGTTTTGTTAATTAGTTTTAATAACTATCTGAGGAAAGTTTTTCTGGTTGAAATCAGCCTTGAAGCACTATCAAAAACACAAAAATCATTTTCAAATATTGAAATTAATTATTCCGTTATCTTATTTGGGGTTTAGTGACCGGTGTGGTGATGAGTTAGAAGTCACCATGCCATAGCTCGCATTTTAAAGTGTTTTAAGTTTAAGCATTATCTCAGTTCAACTGGGATGCGGGTTTGGGCGCATTCTCTCGCCACCAGAAGATCTATTTTCTACGGACACACGCAAGAGTTTCTGCATTTAACAACGTTCTGCCCTGAAATAGTACGTAAATATCGCATGTGGGGGATATATGCTCGGTTACAATCCACACCCCTTACTAAATGTGTGCACTTGGTGGGGCACTACGAAAGGCATGTACTGAAAGATTGGACAGACAGAGGAGTTCGTTTTGGCACCTTGGGGAGCAAAATGAATCTGTTTGTGGCCACCTCTCGCCACAAAGCCTTGTCATGCAATCGGAAGTCTATTTTTCCGGTCAGTCCGAAACCCTGCGGCATACATTTGTGCTTATGTGGTATGTGGGGTTGTGAAATCCAACGACTCGTTTCCATGGACGTGAAAGCCAGACCTCTCGGACGCGAGGGGACAGGAGGGTTGGAAGAAATCGCCGGACGAGTGATGAAGTAGTAACATCAAATCTCAATCTACAGGCGACAATCGCAGTCTTCCCATGACTTAGTCGACAACAGGCATGGGATATCCATGGAGTTCTCTGACAAAAGCATGCTTAACGATGCTGTAAGTTCTCACGACAATCCTAGTCGTGCAAGTAGACAAACTCCCCAGCAGTTGAACAGATAAACTCGAGACTTTTGGTAGGTGGATTAATGTGTACATATTTTTCGGTTGCAGCTTCAAAATCCTGAGTGAGATTGGAATTTCACATGAGCAGAAGTGAATGCCTTACACATACACTGGCCGATCACATGAAATATTAACCGAAATTCGGAAATGCGTTTTTGATTAGGAAGGATTACTTAAGTGGGGTTGTTGTGTTTATTAGAGTGAAGCCTACGCCCAAGCTGCTTCAAACGCGACAGCATGTTAGCTTTAGAATGCACTTCCTTTCGGCCGTCTGCAAAAACCTCACAACGAAGACCTAACCTTCGGAATGACTACTAGAATATGTCGCACCAAGCTGTTTCGTTATTCCAACGGCTTTTTAAATATTTTAGGTAAGGGGAAACCATACCAAAAGCACAGGTACTAGCCAAAAGCCCATACTTGCGGGTTTCGCTGATATTCTGCCACTGCATGACATAGCAGCGAGGGTTTCGGCTCATCACGTCTGCTACCGAATTAGAAATTGCTGCCTTTTAATCCGCTCAAAAATTAATTGTGAACGGTCTATAGGCTCAGACCGCGAATTTTATGGAATTTTATGCATAAAAATTTTGGCATTTTATTATTCGTATCGGAAGCAATATGGTGAAGGGTTGCAATAGAACAATTATGATTACGTCTCTGCTTAATATAATGGCGTACTTACTTCTACTACTACTATTTCTACTCCTGACGCTTAATAAACAAGGCTTAATAACCGCTGGCAGGGAATAAAAACTGATCGAGTTGCAGGTTCAGTCAGATTCAATGACCCAATACTAATCGAATAAAGGGCTTCTTAAATAGCACTCACAACAAAGCCAACGTATTCCTCAACGGCTACCCACCGAGCATAGATCCTATAAGGCTTAAATCCGTCCTGGCAGAGGAAAATAGACGTGAGGAATCCTACAAGACCCATCAAACACCGCAACCCTCGCGAACAAACGTCCAGACCCGATGTGATCTGGGGACCGAGCGGGTTCTAAAGGTAGCCAACAACGCGTGACCTAGCCGGCATTGCTCAGCCGTTTGCCACGCATATTCCCATTCTATGATTAGCCGATTTGGCAGATGCCCTGTCGACCTGTGATCATGAAACCCGAGTCCATGCTAGCTCCATAGCCGGGGCATCTTAATGGGCTGGGTATTCTGTTAGATTTTGTCATACGTATGTTGCGGTTGCGATGTCTTGAGAAATAATAGTTTCCAGATATTTCCCTCTGAACCAATTTGGCTCGAAAGGAAATAGTTAATTCGAGAACACGAATGCGCACGGATCATGAGATCGGTTGACACTATCAGCTCTCACACTTTGTGGGGTTCGAGTCGAAAAATGAGCACATAATTGGGAAAAATCTCGGCAGCGGTGGGGTGAAAGACCCCACTTAGCTGCCGGGAATGGCGTCATTTGGGGGAGGTGGGATGTTTTACGGTTGGGGCAGCACGCCGGACAGTAAGCTGGTGGAATGCACAAAACCATAGAAGTCAACCGCCGGCAAAAAAGATACTTTCAAGTAAACTGATGAATTATGCAAATACAGCAGCCAGGTGGGTGTTCCATTTCGTTCCACCTTGAAAGATGGCCTAACCATCGAACAACTGAGCCTATAGCCTGGCAGATATTCCTGCTATCCCCCAATCCGTGCTCACTTGATCCCCGGTTTTTGTTTCTCCGCTCTTGCGTACAATTGCCAGTCATAGGTACTTAACTAGATTCTGCGATTACATACATCAGCACACGATCCACAACATGCCAACAGCTAAGTGGGGTCCTCCACCGTACAGCTGCCAAAACCTCTTCCAAAGGAAGTTTTGAAATGAGTTTAAATGGGGGGCAAGCTGAGGCATCAATGAGACAGACGGAGAGACCTAAGCATTCCTAGTCTCCCACTATCTCCTCGCATGTGACCTGGATCAAAACATCTAAAGGCTTTTCAGTCAGAGCTGGAATGCTAGATTAAGATCTACGATGAGTGTCTACATAGATACATATAAAGCTCTGCACTTCAGCTGTTCGTTAATGGCTACGTGAATTACACCAAATCTCATGTCCCACGCTGCTTGGCTGTTCGTGCTACCTCGCTCGATTTCCGTGAAATCACCAGCACGGGAAGACCCAGCCCCTGTTCTGGCATATACAAGGCCGAAAGACTCAAGGCGTGCTTTACTTCTTTGTATCAAATATCCTCGAAAAATGTTCCATCTGGCAGGTCCACTTTCAGACTCAATGGCCAGTTCATATCGCAGAATTTTTGACACTCTCACATGATCCGAGTCGCCACATGGATGCCTGGTACAGGCTGTGGGACCTGTGTCGTGTGTGGCACGCGTATGGGGCCCACGAGTCCAACTCCGTTCGTCCTGATATCGTCTTGTCATCGGATCAGGACCAACCGATCAGACGAACGCTCGTAGTTTCATTACTATCTCTGATTATCAAACCGTCTGCATCTCAGCAACAATCTACTCCCCATACTTAACCCAATTCTGGACCCTCTATATTTGTTGCAGTGATCGCGGAATGCACGATGGAATATTTGACCAATGAAGTGGTTCATGTAGACGAAGGAGTGTTAGCGTCACTCGCCCACCTCAATCAATAAACACTGATTACTTGGGGCAAGAGATACACGACAGATCTGCACGCAACAGGAATGGGTCTGCAGTTCGAAGAGGACGTGTGCGGGGAGCTCTCAGTCTAGTGCTACTACGACCAGCCATAGCAACCGTCGGTAATTCGAGCCACTACCTCGTATTTATGGGTGCCGTTTGATGTCGGCAATCAGTGGAGGCAAACCGGTTTACGTGGATGTGGACTCATGTCGCCGTGGTTCGGTCACTTGAGGTTCTTCGATACGGTTGGATGGCTATTTCAGGGCAGTAGACTGCCGTCGATTGCCTTGCCTGATGAGGTAGTCTGGTCAACACAATCTCTTCAAGTAAATCAGACAACACCACATCTGTAGTAGGTAGAAGCAGATTGTACAATGGCAATCCCCAGCGGATTCTGATTCACCGTCAACCCAGGCACACAACTCCAGTCTATGTCCCATTACAACCATGCTCGATAACACTGGCCATACCTTAGCAACGGCCCCTGACAACGTAGCCACCACTGGTGAGTCCAATGACATCCTTAGATCGTTTGACACTGTTCCCGAGTCCAATTTTAAGATAATTTCTTATCGGAGGGCGGATGGACAGACATGTGCATCTGTTCGGCTTAATTTGCCTTCATTCAGTCAATCCAAACCTTAACATCCTCCTCCCCAGTCATAAGGGAGGGCCTTTTACCGAATTACATTTAACCTCCGTCGTTTCATTCTCCTCTTTTAG